AGTGGTGAGAGTATGGAGAACGCGTTACGAGCATGCTGCAAAGGTATCAAGATTGGCAAGATTCTCATTCACAGGGAAGGTGACAATGGTCAGCAGGTTTGTACACTCAACTTCCTTCCAGATGCCAAAAGTTGGTTTTTAATTTTTCCTCTTTTCTCACTTCATTCATGGTTCAATGATTGAATAGCTTATTTATGAAAAATTACCTCAAGATATCTCAGAGAGGCATGTATTTCTGCTGGATCCCATCCTAGGCACAGGTTTGTTTCTGTTCATGGTTGATAATCATCTCCTGTTATACATCCATGTTCTCCGGTTTCTCATTTTCGAGTTTCATTTGGTTCACTTGCTTGATGACTTTAGTCACAAGAGTCTAAGAGCTAGTAGCTTGTTCTGGACATTTTTATTTAACTCAATGTCATAATCTTGTCGTTTAACATCTGATAAATTTTCTACAGGAAATTCAGCTGTTCAAGCTATTTCACTACTCATAAAAAAGGGTGTACCCGAGTCCAACATAATATTTCTCAATCTCATGTCTGTAAGTTATTGTGGTACAAGCCGATTTGAATAGATTACTCTCCCTCGTGACTTTCTTCTCTTAAAATAATTTCTATTTAATCACCAGGCAACTCAGGGTGTACATGTAGTGTGCAAAAGCTTCCCAAAAATAAAGATTGTGACGTCTGAGATTGATATCGGTTTAAACGAAGATTTCCGTGTTGTCCCTGGTGTGGGTGAGTTTGGTGACCGATATTTTGGGACGGATGATGATGATGATAACCAGCAAGTGGTGGCCTCTACGCAATTGTCCAATCAGAGCAGCTGAACTTTCAGAACCTGGATGATTTGTTACTCAGCAGGATGATTCAGCTAAGCATGTATTTTATCATAATGAGCTTGGAAACAAATTTTGACTTGATCAGACCCCGAGTTCCCATCGTCGAATCATATCATCATCATCACACTATTATTTGCCATATTTCCCCCCTAAACTTTTTGGAGTCGCACACTGAGGAAGCCATTTACATCAACCGGATGATGTATTTTATCATCTAGAAAAGGGTCGACTGCCATAGGAAACTAGAGGGGACTGGGAAGTTGAGTTCCAGGCACAAGTTGTCTTTATAAAAGCCTTATTTTTAAAATAGGTACTTAAAGTATATCCTACTTGTTATTTAAACATAAACAGACTCTAAAAATTTTCAACAAAAAAAATTATAAAATAAGATTCGATAACTTAAATAATTTAAAAAAAAAATTGATTCAATTGTATATTCACCCCTATTAACCTGGGGATATTGCAATTATCTAAGCCTTCGATCCTTGTTAAAACTGACACGTTCGTCATTGGTTTAAGCATACTGCCAATGAGTGCCGTGTCGGATTCTCTATCCATTATCAAACTTTTACAACTCAACATTTGATGGCCAAGTTGATATACTTGTAACTTACGTGTGTGTCATCTTCACGTAATATTACTGTCTTCTGAATATTGGGTTTTAAGCCAATATCATATGAAAGCGAATCATTTAAGACAAGAAAATTACTTCTAAGCTAATCATTTAACTCCCAAGTCCTAGTTCTTTCTTCATGAATATCTTAGATTCTTCACGTGTTAATAAAGTTATAGTTAAAATGACAGAATAATTATAAATTGATGAAAATAAATAGAATCAGTGTGTGATAATCCTGTAGTTTTATCTAAATTTGTAATAATAATAAAAAAAAATATTGTGTGTAGATAAAGTTGAGTATTGGAGGGGAGAAGTGAGTCATTGTTCATACGATAGATGTTTCTTGCAAGCTTAGGAGATTCTAAAGTTCATGTGCCCCACACACTACATACCTTTTCTAATCAAGAAGGAGTGTGTCACATGGAAGAACATTAATATAAATTAGAAATAAACAAAGGAAAAAAAACTTCCAAACTGTCAAATCATTGATTTTCATTCCATCTCCATGAATTAAAGCAATTAATTCGTCAAATGTTAAAGATATTCTTTTTAATATTATACTTTTATTTTAAAAATATTATTTTATTTAAATATTTTTAAAAATGTTTTAAATATTTTTAATTTGAGGAAATTTCGTACATTTATTGAATAGGATATCACATGAGGTAAATAAACGTCATGTTAAACACATATCTCAAAAATGTGTTTGGTAGGTGGTGTCCTTACCCAATATAACAAAAATAAGTGTTACTTTAATAAATAATCTTAAGAGGGTACTTTTCTCGTAAATAATATTTTTAAATTGATATAAATAAAGTCATATATATGTATATATATATTAATTATTTGTTTTCTCTAATATTACACTATTCAAATATGAAAGTAGCATTTCATGTTAAGGTGTGAATTTTCAAAAATTATATTAAAAAACTTAGAAGGTATAAAATTACGAAATTTTAATATATACAAAATTAAATCATAACTGGAAAATAAAAAAATACCTAAATTATATTAAATCAATAAATGGCCCATATAAATTGAGTGCACAAGAGGGTTTAATTTTAATATGGTAAAGCATTAGATTGGAATAGTATACGAGGATTTGACTCCGCATGGAAAATCATTCAATTAGAATTAGGGGTGATCAAAATTCGAATCGATTCGAAAAATTAATTTTTTTGACTCGACCCGAATTGACTTCGAGTTATAATTTTATAAACTTGACTCGACTCGAAAATATTTCAAGATCAAATCGAGTTCTAAAATACAACTCGAATAACCCAAAATTTTTTTTAATTTGTAGATTGATTTTCAAGTTTGAGTCGTAGTTTGAGTCAAATCCCTTAACTTTGTATGATATATGAAAAAAATACGAAAGAAATATATATGTATGTATTGTTTATGATTATACAATATCATTTAAATTAGAATCATATAATGTCATAATATTGTAAATATTTACAATTAAATTTAAATAGAAATTCCAAAATTTGGCTCAACTCGAAAAAATTTCAAGTCAACTCCGAGTTATAAAATAGGACTCATCAACTCGAATAACTCGAATTTTTTTACTCGACTCGATCGAACGCTCACCCTTAATTAGAACAATATAAGAGGATTTAACTAATTTTCACATAGCAAAGCATTAGATTAGAAGTGTTTAAGAGGATTTAATTTTCACATTGCAAAGCATTACATTAAAATAATATTAGAGGGTGTAACCGTATAGCTAATTTCATCAGATTAGAATAGCATAAGGGGATACAAGTAATTGTCACATGGCAAAGCATTAGAATAGAATAGCATAAGAGAAAAAAAAAATTAGTGATCCTATTCCATATGTAATGGGGTAAGGGGAGGTAGAATAGTAGGTTACCCCCAAAGCCAGGTTGAGAGCAGTTTTCGTGGGAGACCTCCGGCAGTCAGAATTATGAATTGCATAAGAGGATACAACTAGTTTCCACATGGCAAAGGACTAAATTAGAATTGTATTAGAGGATTTAATTATCACATGGCAAAGTATTGGATTAGAATAATATAAGAGGTTATAACAAACTTTCACATGGCAAACCATTGGATTACATGTATTCACAAACCCCTAATGGAATACGAATAGAAACTATTAGGGTAAAAATATTGAACATGTCCTTCTATTACAATACGGAATTCATTTTAGTCCTATACTTTTCAAATAAGAAAAAATGTCATTACTTTTTAAATAGAATTAGAATTGAAAAATTATTAATTTCAAGTTCAACTTAATTAAATAATGTGGTATTAGTTTTAATTATGACGTGACATGTTTTTTTTAATTTATTTAATAGATAAACTTAATTAAATTCAAACTCGATTATATCTCAAATTAAATTCAAGTTTGTATTTTGATGTTTTATCTAATTTAAATTTAAATAATAAAATAATACTTTTAAATAACGTACAACTAATGTTTTGAAAATCGGATCGGACCGGCCGGTTCAACCGGGAACCGCTATCTAGTCCGGTTCAATTTACACCGGTTGAACCGCTACTAGTGAACCGGTCAGAACCGTTGAACCGTTCGAACCGGACTGGTTGAAAACCGGAAAACCTCAGAAAAAACCACCAATTTTGTTTTTTTTAATAAAATTAAACCAAATGACGTCGTTTGTTAAATGAGCCAAGTCGAACTCGAGTATTGCTAAGCTTGACTCGAACTTGAAAACTTTAAAAGTAAGCTCAACTCAACTCAAACTCACAAGCTAAAAATTATCAAGTTCAACTCGAACTCGAAATATAATATTGAAACTTGAACTCAAAAGGCTTGAACTCAGAAAAAAATTAGAAGCTCAATTGAAGCCTAAAATTCGAGCTTGATTGAAGTGAAATAATAGTTCACTCAATGCTCACCAAAAGGCTCCATGATTTTGAATGCCAAATTACCTCTATTATTTATAGAAATTAGTTGAGATGTTCTTCTATGTTTCTTAGCCATGTGAGATTGTTTTGTTATCATATTTTTACTCTTTAGATTTTTAGGATGATCTTCTATGTTTCTTAATCATGTGGGATTGTTTTTTTAAAAAAAAATTAAACCAAACAATATCATTTTGTTATGATTTTTTTAATCCCAAATTTATTTTTTTATTATAGTTATATAATTATATTTATTATTTAATGTTTTACCTTAAATATTATGTTGTAGTTAATTTAAATCATTTTGTTTAACTTGATTTTATGGTTTTTAACTTATATGTTATGACTTGTTTTGAGTATGACTTGTCATATAAAAAATTATTTTTTATTAAATATTTTTGACATTTTTATTTAATTTTTTAAATAATTATGACGTCGTCCGATTCTTTCGACCGATCAGACCGATTCCACCAATTAAACCAATGAACCGATAGTATGATCGATTCGCTAACCGGTCCGATTTTGAAAACCATGGTTTTCCATCGGTGGAGCCAGATGCAAAACGTTGTACCGGAAAACCCTCCAGTTCTCCACTCCGAGTTCACCAATAAATAGTCTCCACGTATCCTGTCCTTCAACCTGAATATCTGCTCAAAATATATCTAATATTTCACTAAAAATCTTCTCTCTCTCCCCCCCCCCCCCCGCCAATACGATCTTTCTTCAACTTTTGAAACATCAAATTAAATAATCATCCTTTTCATACTTGAACCACACTGCACTGCTCTTCTCTCGTCTGTTACATTTCCAGTCTTCCAGACCAGACAGCAAAGAGGCGTGTTCTACAGGTAGAAGATAAAGTTGGATGTTTTTCTTTTTCTTTTTCTAATTCGGTAGATTCTCAAGTATTTATGTGGAGAGACGGATAGAGTAACAGTAAACTTTGGAAAGACAGGAGACCATTTCTTCGATTGCATCCATGAGATCACATCTCTGGCTTTGCCTAGGATGACTCAGTCTGCATACCGAGTTGAAACCATTGCTCGTCTCGCTCAGTGGAGGATAGATGATCTTCCCTCTTGCACTTACCGCAAGTCCGATGCTTTCAAGATCGGCTACTGGAACTGGTCCGTCAACTCGCATTCTTTATTTCCCATTACAAAGATTCAAAACAAAACTAATTCGGATAAAAGACCATTTAGTTGTTACTGTTCTTCTGAGATTCTTAAGAGTTTTTGTTTTCTGTTAATGGAACCATGTCCTTATACCTTTTTTTTTGGGGTGGTTTGAAGGCATTTGACGGTGGAGAAGAACAGAGTGCTGTATGTTAAACTATACCCAGAATTCTCAAATCTAACGAAAGAGAATCCCCCCATTGCATCCTTCATAATCCAGGTTGTCTGCTCAGATGGAGATCGAAAATCTTCCACTCATCCAGGTAATATTTTGATGAGTATAAATTCAGATGATTCAATCTTTCATGCTTATTTTTTTTCCTTCTAATTCTGTCGTCTCTGAACGTAGAAATAACAGACAAGCAGCTGAAGAACAACGACGATTTCATCTGGCCGATTGAGGCTCCTTTGACAGGGAAATACATTATCAACGTCGAATTTCTCGATCTCAAGACTGCATCTTCGAAAGTAAGAGTTGATCATTTAAGAGATAATAATAGGAATAGAAGTTAATAGTATCATACCTGAATTAACGGTTAAAAGTTTGGTGTTGATTCACAGGGTGGGGAGCCTTGCTCCATTTGGACTGAAGGGTTCACACAAAATCAAACAAATGCAGTAGTTCTTGCATGTCTCGATCGGATGTTAACTCAAGGCATCCATACAGATATCGTTATTAATGCTTCAAATGGAAGCATCGGAGCCCATCGTGCTGTTCTTTCTGCACGATCGCCAGTTTTCCACAGCATGTTTTCGCATAACCTTCAAGAAAAAGAACTCTCAACCATAAACATATCCGACATGTCGATCGAAGCTTGTCAGGCTTTCCTATGTTTCATTTATGGAAACGACAAACATGAAGAGTTTCTGCCCCACCGGCTGGCACTTCTCCGGGCAGCTGATAAGTATGATATCTCGGATTTGAAAGAGGCGTGCCACGAGAGTCTGCTAGAAGATATTGATACAAAGAATATCCTCGAGAGACTCCAAACTGCAGTTTTATACAAACTTCCAAAACTTAAATCTAGTTGCTTGCAATATCTTGTGAAATTCGGCAAGATATATGATATTCGAGATGATTTTAAAGCTTTCATGCAATTTGCAGAAAGGGAGCTGATAGTTGATATATTCAATGAAGTTCTAAATACCTGGAATGGATTCCAAGATTCCACCAATGGTAAACAACAAAGTTAAGTGTGTTTAAGTCGGTGGTACTCATAGCATCCACGAAAATTACAGCGAGCAGGATCATATTTGTAAAGATGATTCTTTTGTTCATAGGGAATTCGTGTGTCCATGTACATATACATATATGGAATTCATGTGCACACATGTAATGTATTGGTTTCCTTTGACAAGAACATGCTATCCTTGTAATCAAAATTGAAGGAATGCAACATGATTTGGCAGTAAATTTTTGGATTTTGTATTGTGATTTAGATTTTAAGAGGATTATGTAATTTCGGATTACACAGAGCTATGCATGCTGCCATCCTCATCTCCCATACAAGGCAATGAGGCCTACAACTAAACCCTTCAAATCAATACCATCTTCAACAAAACTGGGGCTCTTTTCTCTCTTAACATGTAATTACTAATACAATATAAGAAATCATATGCTAAAACTCAGCACAATCATGACATGCAAAGCATAAAGTAGAGTTTCAACAGTATGTGTAAATGAATATGAAGAGAACCTTGTATTTCATTCATGCCAAATTCATGAACTCTTCACATAAAGTTGCATAGGTGGAAACCTCAATAGTATCCAAATAGTGTTTTATTTATAACCCAAAAAAGGGTTAATTTAAAGATTAAAACAAAAACCTTAAAACCCAAAATCTTTCAGGTACACCACACCTCAATATTGGACTCAAATATCCCATTTGAAAGGGAAAATCTCAAACGCGCTCCCATTAACAAAAGCATCGAAGAGATGGAAAATATCAACTCTATCGTATCACTCTTCAGATGTTTGACTGATCTCACTGCTCTTGGCTTCACCCACACCTTTCTTTTCATCTCCTTCGATGGCATCTCCATTTGAGCAATGATTATTCAAGACTGCAGAAATGTCAGATTCAGAAGCTCCAGCAAGCTTGAATCGCTCAACGGCGGTATCTAGATTTCTTTTCCAACCATCCATTCCTAATTTGCACTCAACTTGAGATCGTTCAAAGAGCATGTTGCCCCAGAAAAGATGTATCTGTGATCTCATCACAGCTGCTTGTTCGGCTGCTTCCTTGGGTGAAAGTTCACCCTGACTTCCTGGGAGCTCACTTTCTGCAGCAGTTCCCAATTTCTTCCTCCTCTTTGACAAATCATCCTTCTTGATCGAATTTGGATCTTTCAACTCATTTGCTCTCTGCTCCTCCAACTTCTCCCACATTTCTGTAGCTGCTTTCATCTTCTCTTCAGCACTGTCAAAAAGTTGAAATGTCTCAGCAGGATCCCAGCTTGAGAGATCTAGTTTCTTTGCAAGTGCAAAAGACCAGTTAAGTTTGGCCATTTCAAATTGCTGCTGTCCCAGTGCCAGCAGCCCTTCATAAAAGTCCGGCTTGATTAAGAGTGCTTCAGCATACTTCTCCCTGGCCAAAGAATACTTTTCCCTAACCCAGTCATAAGCCACTTGAAGTTGTGCTGACACTACCTCCTTGCCAGTTGACTCTTCTAGAGGAATTCGTTTCCTTGCAGCACACATATGAATATTTCCCCAATTAAAGAAGGCTAAGGCAACTACCTCTTGGAATTTGGCAGCAGCTTTGTCAAAGAGGTTTTGAGCCTCTTCACTAGTAACAGTCTCCTCAAGAGCCTCCGAACAGAGCTCCATTCCAAGCTCATGCAAGTCGATATGAGCATCAGGGTCAATACCTACATGGGTGCGGAAAAGATGAGCAAACTCAAAAAGCCAATCATCCATCTCCACTGCCTTGCACTCCGGATCTTCTGAAGCCCCTACGTTTTCCTTTGAAGCTTCTTTCTCTGTCGTTTCAATCTCAGTATCAACACCTTCTGACACGCTATCACCAAGAGATGAGTGATACCTGATTTCATCAACCTTGGCTCCTTCACTCTCCAAAAGCTTTTCCTCCTCTTCTGGTAATGGTGGCTCCTGCTCTGGACTCACCTCAACAATGTGCAATCTCAACATCCCAAATCCACCAGTTTTATCTGCTTCTGGTTCCGAAGGAATAAGAGCATCTACATAAGACTCCGCCAACCTGAGTTCTGTCGTGCAGGTAATAGTAATCAAATCTCCATCACTATCCTTATATTTGATCAACACTGAATTGGATGAAGGAAAACGTTTGCTCACAATCTCTCTCAACACTTTGAAGCTACAATTAACTGGCATTTCGGAAAGCCTTATGTCATGATCGTAAACAAGTTTCAAAGGCCTCCATTGAATTGCTGCCTGCTGAACCTTCCCATTAACAGAAGATGAAACTAACTGTCCTCTCGGGCCACCCTTTTTCAGATTATCAACTGCTTTCGAAGAACCACTTGAGGGCTTCAGCACAACTCTTGGAAACTGGACCTTGTTCAGTACCATTTTCAGATGCTGCACTCCTTTGGATCTTCTCCAGCTTATTATTTGGCGATCCAACTGATCCGCCTGGAGGCGATGATGCTTTTTTAGGCACCGGGCGAGCAGGTAAGCAAGGCCCAAGGCCGGAAATTGGGGCACCACGAACAGCAGAAGCCCCAAGTGCAGCTGGGGAGGGACGGCTCTGGGGGTCTTGCTGAGCCTCCTGGCGAGGACCCAAAGCAGTCCTCAGTCTCCTTGCAATCTCCAAAGCATCCTTGTTATTGGGGTCAGTCCCCAACAAAAACTGCACATCCTGCATCGCCACTTCATACTTCCCAATAGCCTCGAAAGCCCTTGCCCTCCTAAGGAGAGCTCGGACAAAGCGAGGCTGAACCTGAAGCGCCATGGTACATTCGGCAATGACAGTGTCATAATCAATGGGTTTCATTTGCATCAAGCAAGCAGCTCTGTTGCTGTGAAAGACAGCCCGGTCGGGATTGGTTTTGGGGATAAGCTTAAGAGCATCATCATAGTGTTGAAGAGCAGCCACATAATCCTTATTCTGAAACTTCTTATTGCCTTCTTCTTTGAGCTCATTGGCTCTCTTCAAAAATATAGAAGAGTCTAAATCAACACCCCCATTAGCATGTGCACTAGTGTTACTAGAATGGTTATCAACGGAAACCTGGTTCGAACCACCCTTCTTTTTTCTACCACCTGATTTCCCCATGTAAGGATAAATAATATCTCTCTGTCTGTTAAGTGTCTCTCTCTCTATCGAATTATATTCTTATTCAATAAACTACAAAGTAGAAATCTTCGAAACTATAACTTGAGTAACAGAATATGAGAACCCAGAGATTAGATTTAAGATCAAAACAGAGACAGAGAGAGAGAAATGGTACTTACAGAAAAATACTTAATAAAGCAGTGAACTTTGTTGCTTGTTGGATTGGGTAATTGAATTGGAATAGTGGGGTTTGCGAGGAAAGGAAAGATTGAGATCGCATAAAAGAAATTGGGGTTGGGGGGGAATGGAAGGGTTTTTGTTTAGGTTATTGAGATGTTGAACTTGAAACCCTAGAGGCGGATGTGGAAGAAGATAATATCCACCAAGTTAGGGATCGATTGAACAATTCTTTCGTGGCCGTTAGATTAATTTACTCCTTGTATTGCCCACCTTCTAAATGTACTACAATTCCTTGTATTAGGTTATTTCCCCTCATATTCTCTTGTATAAAACTATTAAAGCTTATTATATAAGTTCATACTTGAACTTAGTTATTTTTTTAAATTGGCATTTTAATGTTTTAAAATAATATTTTAATTTGAAAAAAATTATCAAATTAGTATATGTATTAACCTATCACTTTAATAATGAATTAAATTATCACTATGATCAAAATATTAATATTATAAAGTGTTAAATGTCATGATGTAATTGATTATTGAAGTGATTAAATTTTAAACAAATCAAATTAATATATATCTTGATATGCTACTTTAACAATAAGTTCGAGTAATCAAACTATTAATACTCTAAAAGAAATAATATGAGCCAAAGTAATCGTTTTAGTAAACTTTGGGGACTACTTTTGGCATTATACCTTAAGATTAAAGCTAAGCATTATATTAACTGTTTTAACCTAATCTTTCTAGCACGTTTGCTGTGCATCTTAAATCTTAGTTCTTTCTTATAGATTGAAAGCGGACATTGCATGCTCCATGAACATTTAGCGCACGATAAACATAAAATTTAATGTCATGGACGATAAATTTATAAAATTTTAAGACAAATATCTATAAAATTTAAAGAAGATAAAAATAATTTTTTTTTTTAAATAATAAAATCTAAAATATTTAAAAATTTAAAATTTTAAAGGAGACGGCCGTCAATACTTAGGTTCATCTCTGATTAAGCATGCAATGATAACGAGATGTAGAATGCCACATATATATATACTGAAATAAGTATGTAGGTTACATTAGTTATAAAGAGCATTAGAAAAGCGGTCGGACAAACTCATCATCACTGGCCTTGACGCAAAAGAAATATGGAAACCGCCTTTAACTACAACAGATAACTGTGATGACAGCTCATAGTTAGTAATTCTAAGATGATGTGTCTAATGGCCATATTTCATCCGGGGCAGGTCATAAAAGCCCATTTTGCAAGCCCTTATAAAAAATCATAATTTATTACAGGCTACTCAAAGCCCATTACAAATTAAATTTGGGTCCAGCACTAAGCCTAACTAAACCTAAAACATGTTTAAGCCCAAAGGCAACCCATATCAGTTAACCCATTTACAGTAAGGCCCAGTATCAATTGATCTGTCAAACCCTAGTGGGTGTGCATTTGATCGAATCTAGTCGAGTCAAAAAAATTGAGTTATTCGAGTTGACGAATCATATTGTATGACTCGAACTTAACTTGAAATATTTTCCAAGTCAAGTCGAGTTGTTTGAATTTCTATACAAATTTAACTGTAATTATTTATAGTATTATAGTACATATTTATTCCAATTTTTTGACTTTCTCTAACAATAATATATATATATATATATATATATATATATATATATATATATATATATATATATTCTTTTCACATTACAAAGTTATTTAATATAACACATACAATCTACAATTATAAAACATATTTACAGCATTACATTTCAAAGAAAGTATTTTGATGATAAAATATTAATGAGAGTATAAAAGAGTCAAAGAATTGATGTGAAGAAAGAATTCGTAAACAATTGTAGTTAAAAGACTAAATTTTGTAGTCAAAAGACTAAATTGAGTAAAATATAAAGTTAAAGGATTAAATTAAAAAAGATAGTATATTTTCAGTAAAAAAATAAGAATTGAAGTTATATAGGTATTCTATGGTGGTAAGGCAGCATGTGGTTTAAATTTGGTCAAAAATGTAAAAATGAAGGATGAATTGAAGAAATACGAAATCATACAAAATTGAGGGATTAAATTAAAAAAAAAGAAGATTTGTTATCAAAAAGTGGCATTGAAAGTACATATGTATTCTATGATGGTTTAGGAGATGTGGTTCAAATTTGGTAAAAAATAAATTTAAAATGAAGGAGGAATTGAAGGAATAGGAAATCAGGGACCAAATCGTAAATCTATCAAAATATTCATCTAAATTTCAACTTGACTCGAACTCGAAAATCGAATTGATAATTCGAGTTGACTCGAATAACTTAACTTGAAAAACTCAAAATTAAAAAAAGTTTGATTTCTAGAGTCGGGTCGAGTTTTACTCACCCCTAATTGCAAGAGTAGATTGCAAATTTATAGATTTAGAAATATTTTCTAAGGTAGGTATAATATATTAACAATATAAATTTTTTGTATGGGATGGATACAAATAAAATTTTATGGTCGACATAGTTAATAAAATAGATAATTATCTAAAGAAAATTCATATTTTAATGTGGATAAATCATAAAGCCTGGATCTGCCACTCACTTTATATCTTATAGTTTCCTTAGTATAATAGACAATAGTCTTTTCATGCAAAACCTTTTGCTGAAAAATCCGTAAAATTTTCTACCTCCGCATATGATAGATAATTATTTTGTGGTGATTACAAGAAAATATTTGTTCGAAAGACTCTTAATTATTTGACAATAAACACTCATATATCCCTGTAGACAATGTGTTTGAAATCAAAACTTTAAATGACAATAACTATCCTTTTTGACTTCCGAAATTGTTTAATTCGTAGATTTGGTGGTAGAGAAACAAAGTGGTGTAAAAAATGTGGTTGGCAGTTGCGAACAACAGTGATGGCGATGAGAGAAAGGGCATGGCCTTAAAGTCGTTGCATTGAAATCAAAAGCAAAGCTAAGTTAATGAAGCAGCTCCAAAGAAATGCTTGTTCATGAGATATTGATACTCATTTATAAAATGTTATTATTTATTTATGAGATATCGATATTTAGGAGAGTAAAATAATACCTGATTTAAAGTATCAATATTCTTTGTAATCTGTTTTAAAATGTATTGTTTAGGTACCAATATTTTCTTTTCTTTTTTTCATCATATTCGGTTTATTTATTATCGAATGAAACTTAGACCTCAAACGTTAACCTCGTTAAAATACCCTTGGATCTAAATGAGAGAAAAGAGTACACTGAATCAGGGACAAAACGTACAACTACTTAAACTGCTCAGCATCCACCAACAAAGAAAAGCAACACGGAAGACAATTTTTTCTAATGGAAAACACTCGAAAATAAAGCACATCAGCACAAAAGCTGGACCAAGAAACGCAGAAACCTATTAGGCTTACCCTTACCATCACGCTTCGAACAACTCTTGTATTCAATGGAATACCGATTCTATCACACTTGTATTCTCTGATGGCGACTTTGTAAGTCTAATATGGGTCTCAAGGCTTAAATGATTAAAATATCCCTACGATTAATAAACTGATTATGAACCCTTTACTTGCTTCCAATGTTGTGATGATCAGCTTGAGTGAGCCATTAAATTGTCAAGTACTATGGCATTTTGAGTTTCAGTGGTGATGATACTACCATTGTACATGACTTTATTAATAATATTATATTATGCGATATTAGTGTCATGAGTAAACACGTCAGATGCCCAATATTTGTATATTATATTGATCTTAATAATGTGGATTAACTAAATGAGGCATTCGATATTATATATTCGCCCTTAATAATTAACGTGAGACGAACCAGATATTTGGTTATTGACGAACGTATATATGCATTATTATATTATAGGGTAAACTATGCATTTAGTAATTAAACTATCAGTTTTGATCAGTTTTAGTTCCTAAACTTTTAATTTTTTTAAAATCATACCTAAAGTTTGTTAACATGTAGCATCCTCCTTACGGCAAAGGTTTATATTCATCTTTCATCTGCATGGCATATATGACATTGTACGAAGGAGAAGGAGAGCCATTGTTCCATACCATCCTCCTTACCGGCAAAGGTTTATATTTCATCTTTCATCTGCATGGCATATATGACATATACGTGATGTTATATAAATATGTACATATAGTTTGTTAACATGTAGCATGCTGCATGCATGTAATGCATGGCCATCCATAATATGTATGTAATGCTATATAATATGTACAGTTTGTTAACATGTAGCATGACCATCCATAATATAGTAATACTAGTTTGTTTTTAGGCATGTTATGACATATATTTTTGTGCATTCCTATCATGTTATATTAGTTTCTATAGCTGTTTTAAGTATTTATTCATTAAGCATGTAGCATGACCATCCATAATATATTAGCTTAAATTTTAACTCTAAGTTCATTTAGTTTAAAACCATATCATTATTTATGCTACGCGTTAATAAAATAGGGTGAATTATACCCATCAGCAATCAAATTTTTAGAATAATTTTGTTCCGGTCACTAAATTACAAAAACTTTTAATTTCATCATTAATTTGTTTTTGATCAGTTTTATTTTAATCAAATTTTATCATACCATTAATAAAATTGGTGACATAATAATCTTTTAATTGATATGATAACAATAGTTTAGTCCTCAAAACTTGTAAAACTATGTTTAATCTTTTATATTTATAAATTTTATTAGTTTAATTCTTAAAAACATCATCATAATCCCTTGTCAATCCAAGTATCATCACTCATCACCGTACCCACATATTTTCTATTCATCAATAATTCAATACCTGCACATGGACAAAATGAAAATAATAAAATTCTGCTGTTTGCTGAGAAAAAAAAAACATGGACAAAATGAAAATAAATTAAATAAAAAAGAACATGTCGTTTTTCTCTCTTTTTCCTGTCATCTACCTCCCCCATTTAGTGAAGAATCCAAAACTATAATTTAGGATGTGTACATAGATATTAACAATATAATTTTTTTTATACGAGATAGACACAAAGAAAATTTCAATGTGAATACAATCAATAAAATAAATGATTAACTGAAGAAAATTTAAATTTTATAATTGATATTTATCTCCTAAACAATGAGTAGATCCGCCACTGACTCCACCTCTTTTCTTTCACTCCATTAACCTTTAATTTCAAGGTTTAAAAAGAAAAATAATTATGTGGGTTACTACAGTTTTTAAGTAACCTATTTTGTGTTATTTGCTCTTTGATTTTGTAATTTGTTTGATCAGTAATTAGTTCTTTCATTAGGCCATTACTTGCATAAGAAAAAAAAAAAATAGGTGAAATACTAAATCTAGACAGTGGATGCAACATATAAAGTAGGAAAATTTTGGAAGAAACAACGATAAGAGTCTAGAGGATTGATCCATGAGAAAAATTGAACATGATATGACGGCAGAGATGGTGTAAGAAAATGTGGTTTTCTTTTGGACTTCATTATTTATTATTTCAATCACTCTTCTGTCATGTTTTTCCTTTGTTCGCACATGATACTCTGGTACTTTCTCAATGCCAATACCTTCTTGCTTCATCATTGTTGGAACATGTATTATCAACATCATGCTCCTAGTATAAAATTGTTAGGAATTTAGAAGTAGAGAAATGATAAAAGCGAGGTCGATATAAAATAAAACATGCATAAGAAACGAGGTTTGGTATAATTTAGTCTTATCTACTTTCACATATGAAAAGAACAATAATATACTATACATAAACATAGAGATCACGAAGAGTTAGAAATACATAATATCTCATGTATTCTAAAATTTGGTATATATACTATAATTAGGAGTATATCAAAATACTCTCAAAAAATCCCTACAAAAATAACTCTACAACATAAACTTCAAAAGTTATAGAGATTACAAAAAGAATTATGTCCCCGAATTCTCTCACTATTCTAAAGGTTAAAACTTATTCTATATTTATAGAGATATGTTGATCACCAAAAGATCTTATTCCATAAGATTTATTTCTTAAAATAAATATTTACTTATTAATCTTTAATCACATTATTTAGTTTTTAGTTATAATTTAAGTGAAAAATATAACAAAAATATTTTCCAATAACACAGACTTTATTGATCGAGTACTGCCATACTTTCACCATAAATCGATAAAATATCTAAAAGAACGAATAATAAGAGAAATAAATGAGTTTAATAATTAAGAATTGTAAATATATATTTAGTATACTAAATATCCCCATCCGTACAGATGCGTAGTAATAAAATCATTATTTTTTCTAACCGTAGTTCATTCCTGGGATGAGGGAGATGCAGAAGCAGATAGAGCAAATGTCCCCCATCCGTACAGATATGTAGGGGCTTAATAGTTTCATTGAGACGTGTCTATTTCTGTTTTCTCATGCAAAAAAATGGGGTCTCAACTTAGCTGGCTGAATAGAAGATGGACAAAACATTTACAGTACCAAACTAATGACACAGCTCACTAAATTATTGTGTTGCTGGTGGGGATGGCCTGCAGAGGTTTTTTCAGTCTGTTAATTTTTTTCTCACAATATGATAAATTTAATTCTTAATATATATATACACACGAACCAAACAATTTCAATAGTTAAGAGATTATTGATACCCTTTGAAGTCTCGGTTAAAACACAATGTTTATACAGACATATGAGTATTCATTATCAAATGGTTAACAGTATTTTAAAAATATACTTTACATTCACCCCAAATTAATAAAAGATCTTAATATATATATATATTGTTATTAAAATTATTAACTAAAACATTAAATTTCTAGTCATTTTGAGCTAACGGACCCATGTTCTTCATCTTAACATTAAATTATACATCACATCAATACATAATTTAAAATTAAAAATTGTTTAAACTTAATAACGATTATTAAAATATTCAAAAATAATTATATAGAGTAAAGTAACAGTCACGTGGGATGTAAATATATCACTATGTTTTTTTCCTCTGCTTTGTATCTTATGATAAAGCGCAATTAATTCAATCGGTTTAAGATTCTATAGATTTGTTTTTATTCTGAATGATTGCATGTGAATAATTGAATACGAAAACAGGGTCTAATAACATTAAGGAATTTAGTAATTCAAAATTTAATTGATTGAGTGGTCGAAAATATTCATATTGTCTTCGTTTATATCAGTTCGAATCTCATTATTTATTTTAAAAATGTAATATCCCATATTTAATTAAAAATAAAATACTTCAAAATTAAATATCTTAATTTATTAAAAAACATTCTAGTCCGTAGTCACCCACTTTTAATAATTTTGGAATTTGAAACTTGTATATAGAATATAATATAACAAAATAAATTCGTAAATAAATAAAAATAATATAGATATAAACATAAATGATACATGTATATATCGATCATCCAAGGCGTTTCTGTTGGAGCACAAGTGTGTACGTGGGAGACGGAGGCCATCATTCCTTGGCTGTGGCAGAAATAGTACATTCTCCTTAACTGCATAGGTTGATTTCATCTTTCGTATTAACATATGTAATGTATTAGATGGAATATAGTGGATTGATGTGTTGCATGCACGTCCTGCATGTCCATCCACGTAACTACGTACCACTGTATATCAGTTTTTTCAGTTCGACTTTTGATTTTGTTGAATAATTCAGCAAGGTAAACGGTAAAGGGTGCATATTTTAGTGACAGATTAGAGCTCGAGTTTAAGTAGGAGTAGGAGTGATTTTAGGAAACGCGTGGCTCGCAATTTCTGCAGTTAAATGGTTGGAAAGCTTGGTTTTTTTGTTGATTTTACTTTGTTTTATACTAGGTAGTTGAATTAGAACTAATCTAATGATCGCATGTTAATTCCCAGTACTTGAGAACTTTTGTATCATCTTCAGCATATGAACACGGTATATTATGAAATTTCTGGTTAAATTTGTTCTGCAAGTTGAGTGTAGTGATCTGATTAACACACGGAATCATGTTCGGATGTTGAAAAATAATTAGACATGTATGTATATTCATTGATGAGAAGCTAATAATTTAAAAAAAATTACAAGGTGATGGATTACAAGCTGCGAATGTTGGGGGTGAAATCCCATTTTGAAGTAAGTTATTTAATTAATTAGTTCATCATATCCCATCTTGCATTAGCAAATCATATCCTTTTTAATGCAGAGTTGATTTGGTTTCTAATTAACCAATTAATTGATCAATGAAGGAGATGGAATCAGGAGACGACAGGTACATTCATGTGGTTGACAACGACATCGACTCTCCAGAAGCAACGGAAGCCGAGGCCGAACAGCAACGACGAGTTCAAGCATTTTCCGTAGGATTGGAAGGAGGAGGTGACAGGAAACCTATAGGGACTGTCATATATAAGAGTATATACACCGTAATTTTGTCAAAGAAATTCAACGTGCTCATTCCCTTCGGACCTCTAGCAATCTTTGTCCAGAAAAAGACTAATCGAGAAGTGAGTTCCATTCATTTATTTTATTATACTCAATGGACTTGGTCGCTGATGAGTTGATTCACATTAATACACAGGGCTGGGTATTTATTCTTGGTTACTGGGTATAATGCCATTGGCAGAGCGGTTGGGTTATACCACAGAGTAAGAATTCATACATAAATCTTTATTCCCTGTAAAAATTTCTCTAAATTTTCAATATCAGAGAAGTTGTTTATATAGTTCTCCTCTCATTATAGGCAGCTGGCGTTTTACAGTGGACCTACAGGTATGTATATTGTTATACATGTCTGTGTATATATGTGTATGTATATGTATATGCACTTAAATTTTGGAGTGAAATTTGCAGTTGGGGTCTTCTAAATGCTACATTTGGGAATGCAACGGAACTTATTATATCGATTTATGCCTTACGAACCGCAAGGATACGTGTAGTTCAGCTGTCGTTGCTCGGCTCGCTTCTATCGAACTTGTTGTTCGTTCTCGGATCGCATTCTTCTCAGGTGGGATTGTTCGAAAGGTTCAGGTCTTCAACAAGGCAACTGCTGTTGTGAATTCAGGGCTGCTGTTGATGGTAATGATGGGACTACTCTTTCCAGCAATACTCCACAGCACAGGCACCGAAGTGCATTTTGGGATATCAGAGTTGGCTCTTTCAAGAGTTAGTAGCTGTGCCCTGATTCTAGTCTATGCCATCTCCATCATTTTCCAGTTAAAGAATCTAAATGACATGGTGAACATCCATCATAGCTATTATTTTTCTCTTTTCCCTTTCCGTTCTTTCAATGTTTTTATTACGGCTTTTGGCAAACGACATGAAATCAGGGAGGAAGTCAGGATGCAGAGATCATAGATGGCGACGAAGACGAAGAAGCAGGTCCTGAGATCTCGAAATGGGAATCAGTGATCTGGCTAGCAATTACAGCAGCTGCGATTTCGATCCTATCGGAATATATGGTTGATGCCATTGAGGTACTACAGGTGTTCACCTTCCTCTTGTCATATGGCTCTAATTTCTCCTTTTAGATGTAAATGTATATGTTTTTGCAGGGAACATCTTTATCTTGGGGTGTACCAGTTGCTTTCATTACTGTCATCTTGCTTCCAATAGGAGGAAACACAGCAGCAGTTATCACTTCAGTCATGTTTGCCATGAAAGACAAACTTGTAAGAGATTTATTTTCTCATTTACAATTCTCAAATATCTATAACTTATCATTTGCAATATATTGAAATACCATTTTTTTTTCTGCAGGATGTGTCTTTGGGAGTGGCTATAGGGTCGTCAACGCAGATTTCTATGTTTATAGTAGGTGCCTTTCCATTTGAATAAAGGTAATATACATATATACATGTATGTATTCTAACATTTTTGTTATCGTTTCCTACGATTCACCATAGATTCCCTTTTGTGTGGTAACTGGATGGATATTTGGTCGCCCTGTGGATTTGAACTTTCAACCTTTCGAGACAGCAACTCTGTTCATGACTGTTCTATATGTAGCTTTCATAACGCAGGTATGTATGTATGTATGTATTCATGTATTTATTGATGTATGTATGTATGCATGTATGTATAATCATGACATATTTGCATTTGCAAATTTTCAGGAAGGAACTTCTAATTACTTCAAAGGTCTAATGCTACTTTTCTGCTATTTCCTAGTGGCTGCAAGCTACTTCGTACATGAAGACCCTTCCTCTTGGTTAGTAATGTTTGATATATTAGAATTGAAACCATGAGCCATGGATATGAAATGATCATGACTGATTTAACTGACTAATAAAAATTTTGCAGATACATCTGATGCAACTACAGCTGATGCAGCAGTCATTTTATCACAGCTTACTTAGCTAATAGCTAGTGATTGTTAATTACTAAACAAAGAATTTTACCTTTTTAGTTTTTATGTGTATGATTAAATCAGAATTGAAATTTGATATGTACAATCGAACCGAATTAAGGTTTCTAAGTTGTAATGTTTGTTGAATGGCAGTACCTAAATTAATGGAAGTTCAGGCTTTGTTACCGGAATAATCTAATGTTATTTTTTTTTTTTTTTGGATAAGGAAAGATTTTATTCATCCAAAAGGAGCAGCAAGCTGCTACAAAGAACAATATAACACTAAGACAAATCCCAATCTAGACATAGCCTCCTATTTACATCATCAATCAAGTTCATACTGCATCTATACAATTTAATTCTTATAGAATCTCTAATCTTATGAACAATTGCATCAACCGAACGATTAACACCTCTAAACAGCCTATGATTACGTTTCTCCCAAAGAAAATAGACAAAACCAGTCCAAGCAAGCTTTAGGATACAAACAAGAAGGGATTTACCCCTCAAATTCAACGCCAGCCAATGCAAAGAATCATCCCAGCAAAGAATCGGCTGGTTATGAAGACCACAAGTCTGCAAGATTACATCCCAAACCTCTCGGGCGAAAGAACATTCTAAAAACAAGTGATTCCGAGATTCCAGCTCAACTCCACACAGACCACAGATATGATCAACCTGAATTCCAAATCTGGCTAACCTATCCTTTGTAGGAAGCCTATCCAGAATCACCATCCAAGCCACAATGGAAAATTTTGGGACATGAGCAGGAAACCAAATCAATTTGTGCCATTCAACCTTGTCCCTCCTCCCACGGATATGGTCCCATATCCATGCACCTCTAATCTGAGACAAAACAGCAGCAGAACCAAAAGGTCCCCAAGCCTCCTCCCTCATTTTCACCAGCTTTCTTAGGATCCAGCTAAAATGAGGCTTACAGTCAACTGTCCAAAAATCCATAGCCTTGAAACAATAAGATTTGAGCCAAGCAATCCACAAAGAGCCCTCATCAGCTAGAATTTTCCTGATGAGCATGAAGCAGCATGCCCTACTCCAGTCAGAAAGTTTCCTCAAGCCCAGACCACCCTCTGATCTTAAAGAACAAACCTGACTCCAACTCACTCTAGCCCCTCTAGCTGAAATATCACAACCTTTCCAAAAAAAAAACCTCATGCATAATTTTTCAACATCTCTGATGACCCCTCTGGGCAAGACCAGCTGCCTACTCCAATAGCCAAAGATACTAAACAGAACCGACTTAACCAACTGTAGCCTCCCCCCAAAGCTTAAGTGCTTGCTCGACCATTTATCAATTTTATCCTTGATTCTCACAAGTAGAGCTGAGCAGTCTTTGCTAGAAAGTTTTCGAGTAACCAAAGGCACGCCCAAGTACCTAACAGGCAACTGACCATGCTTGGAACCAGTAGCTATACAAATCAGATCCAGACTACACCGAGGCACCCCGCAACCAAACAATTCAGATTTCATAGCATTAAGCCTTAAGCCAGAAAGTTCATAGAATCTGTCTAGAATGCTAACAACACCCAAAACAGACTCCAAGGATCCATGGCAAAAAATGAAAAGGTCATCAGCAAAACAAAGATGAGTAAGTGAGATTTTTTTGCATTTTGGATGGAACCTAAACACTCCATGCTTAGCAGAAACATTCAATAATGATGAGAGGACATTCATCACTAGAACAAAAAGATAGGGGGATAAAGGATCACCTTGCCTCACTCCTCTAGCACCCCTGAAATACCCTACCAAACTGCCATTTAAAGAAATAGAGTACCTAGGAGTTGTAATGCAAGCTTTAATCCAACCACAGAAAGTTTCAGGCAGGCCCAAGGCTTGAAGGACAGTCAATAAAAAGTCCCAAGAAACAGAATCAAAAGCCTTTTGAAGATCAATCTTTAAGGAACATCTAGGGGAGAGATTTTTCCTAGAATAACCCCTAACAATCTCTTGTGCAAGCAATGTATTTTCAGCAATATTTCTACCTTTAACAAAAGCTGACTGACTAAGGGAAATCATATCAGGAAAAACAGATGCTAGCCTAGTAGCCAAAATTCTAGTAATAGTTTTATAGACAACTGGGCAGCAAGATATAGGTCTAAAATCTTTGGCCATACAAGCATTTAAAGATTTAGGAACCAATACAATGGTTGTGGCATTAAAGGCTGGCAGGAGGGAAGATGAGTGGAAGAAGAATCTTACTGCATTAAGGAAATCACTGCCAACAGTCTCCCAGGCTGCCTTGAAAAACCAAGATGTGTAACCATCAGGCCCAGGGCTTTTGTCCTTACCCTGCCTGAAAAGAGCTTCCTTGATCTCCTTATCAGTGATCTCTCCAACAAGGTAATCACCAGCACCCTCAGGCAAAGAATAAGCCAGCAAAGATTGTAGCCAGACCATAGAACAACCCTTAGCAAAGGGATCATCAATACCAATGAGATGCTGGAAAAATTTTAGCAATTCAATAGCCATGCCATCAAAAGATTCATGCAAACCCCCATTTTCATCTTTGATAATTCTGATTGTGTTTCTCTTCTTGTTAGACTCAACTCTCTGGTGAAAAAACCTAGTACTTCGGTCACCTTCTTGCAACCAATGCACTTTTGCTCTTTGTCTATAAAATTCAGATTCAGCTGCTTCAAGTGCAATCAATTCAGCCTGGATCTTTTTCTCCTCAGCCACTCTTCTGTGGCCAACATTTGCAAGATTAAAGATCTGAATATTTTCCAGCTCAGCTTTCTTCGCAGCCACTCTACCAGAAATGTTAGAAAAATGTTTCTTATTTAGATCCCTTAAGAGAGGCTTAAGCCTCTTTAATTTGTCAAACAAGGTTAACATAGGGTCACCAGCAAACTGTTCCTGCCAAGAATCCTTAACAACCCTCAGAAAATCTTCATTATCAGTCCAACAATTGAAAAACTTGAAAGGTTTAGGCCTATGGATTTGGGCAGTCTTCTGAGTTCAAATAATCCCAGGGCAGTGATCAGAAACCCCTTGAGCCTGAAACTCCACAAAAGAGTCAGGAAACTCTAGCAACCATTGAGAATTAATGAGGATTCTGTCTAACTTTCGTGCCAGGAAAGAGTCTTCTTGCTTATTGGACCAGGTGAACAGAGGGCCAGAAAATGGGTGGTCCTGCAGCTCCAAGTCAATCAAACAATCTTTAAAATCCTTCATATCAGAAGTGCAATACCAGCCCAAACTACCAAAATCAGAGTTTTCCTGAGCATTGGCAGTAACATTGAAGTCACCTCCAATGAGCCAAGGTGAGGAACCAATTACAGAATCTAAATTATTCAAATGGTCCCAAAGTTTTCTTCTCTCCAAGCTGTTATTACTGCCATAGATAGCAGTAACCACTAAATTATGTCCAGCCACATCACCTACTATAGACAGGGCTTGATCACAGCCCTTTAGGAAAGAAAAAGATAAACCCTTCCTCCACAATATCCAAATTCTGCCACCATCAAAAAATTCATAGTTAGAAGTAACATTCCAATCCGTAACTAGAGCAGCAACAACCTTAGAGTAATTACAACTTCTCACTCTAGTTTCCATGATGCAAACAACATCAACATTTAAAGCCTCCATTCTCCTAATCACTCTACTTAGCTTGAGGCCATTATTTATTCCCCTAACATTCCAAAAACACAAAATCATTTATTTGCAACAGAAGGGTCTCCACTACAACTGACCTCTAAACCTTTGGCCCTATCCACATGGTCTTTCTTTTTTGCCTTAATTTCATTTAAAAGCATAGCAACTCCCAGAGATGCTGTCCTAGCTTTCCTAGTGCCTTCAAAAACTGCACCCCCAGCAATAGCCTCCATTTTGCTAGAATAATCTAATGTTTATTTCAGCAAAGATGTTGTATTTTATCACCAAACATAACTACTACAACTATCTTCCTGCAACTTGCATCATGATAGACATCCAAAGATGTAAACATCCAGGGATGGATCGAGAGGAGTTGGCGGGATAGTCATCCCTTGAAAATTTCAAATTCTTATATAATTAAAGTATTTTCCTAACTGACGACATCAAAGCTGTTACCTGGTTATTTGTTTGATATCTCATATAAATTTAAAGAGTGCTTTATTCAATTGCTTGAAAGTTGTACAAATATGTTTGGTAGTTTAAAAAAGTTGAACTGCATATCATCATCATCCCTCATCATATCATAATTTAGAGTATATATAAGTTGATTCAGACAATCCCTTATTCTTCTTAATCTTCTTCGTCATCGGTGTCGTCGATTCCGACCCAATTTGTGAATGCAAAAAGAAACTCTTTGAAACACACCGATCCATTTTTATCCCAGTCCATTTCTTCTGCAACAGCACAGATACACTATATGAGCCTTATACCTTTTGTATGGATTCATAATGTAAACGCATTTTGCTGCATAATTTATCTAGGCAAGTATGCACCTAAATGATCATATGTTATGGAAATGTGAATAACAGAGCTGACCAAATCTTTTCATGGCTAGTTTTCCGGCCGATCGCTCCCCGGATTCATTGACGGCTTGAGCCATCTCATTCTTGCTGACGAAACCATCCTTGTTCTTGTCTAAGAACACGAACGAGTCGACGAAAGTTTCGAATGTGGCCTCCAAATCCGGCATTCCGATTCTTAATTTCTGGCATTGTCATGGAAGATCAAACTTATAGGCATGAAAATAACAACCGCGTAAACTCAAAAACAGTGAAAGTGAATCAAGTTTTGCGTTAGGATACAGATTCATGTCCATTAGCATTGTATGTGAGAAGATAAACCAGGCAAAGGAGTACAATGAACTCATTGAATTTTATTCCCATATCCTTATTGATATCGCATGCGTTGAAGAGATCGGTTATCTCCTCCTCTGTGAAAGAAACTTGAAGCTGTTGGAAACACTTTTTCAGCTCTTCGTGGTCAATTGCACCATTTGAATCCTCATCTACAAAAGAAACACAATGCAACCATGTTAAGTCTCAAATCATGACAGAAATGAATTGGGGAAGAAAGGGACATACCAAACTGCTCAAAAACAGCTTTGCACTTCCTTAAGCTCTCATCGATTTTAGGGAATTTTAAGATTACGGTGTTAAAGGATTTCATTGCAGTTCCTGCAGATGCCCTTCGCTTCATGGCTTCAAGCAGTTTAGCTTCTAGTTTCGTTTCGGATGATCTGTCGTTTTCCGTTTCACCTCCCATTTCCAACTAAAAACGAACGGAAAATGAAGGGAGTTCAAAAGCAAAGCAGGATCCTTTTAGTCTTCTGGTAACGTAAAAACGAATGGAAAATGATGGGGTTCAACCACCTTTGAGCCCCCCAAAGGCAAACAAGAAAACCAAGGGTCTGAATTGTAAAAAGAGAAAGAGGAAGAAGAAGAAGAAGAAAGAAGCAAAGACAGAATTAAAGAAGGAATGATGAAGAGTAAGAGAGAAAGTGGGAGAGTGTGGGGGTTGATTTTTTCCATTTTCATCCTAGTTGAAAGAGCATGGTTTATGGTGAACCCACCACGTATTTGGTTACATACAACTAACTAAATTATATGCATTGACTTCTTCAAAGAAATAACTATATTTACATATATATGGGAGGGTGCTAGGTTTGAACTTTAAGATTACAAAATCTTATAGGACCTGTATTGTATATGAATTTATGGACGAATATAAAATTTTATAATAAGGGTAAATTTTAAAAAAAAATTAAGAGATGAATATATAAAATTTTAAAGAATAAAAATAAATTATCAATAAGAAGTATTTAAATTATATAAAAATTTAAAATTTTCATAAAATGATTGCCCTGATTAATCTTTCCTCAATTTATCCCTTTTTAATGTGCCTGCGGGCTAAGCTCGGGGCCGATTGAATGGTGATGGATTGTGACAATTGGTGGTTCCTTTCAAGATTGTCCTGGTTGAATCTCAAGCTACGACTCCATTATCAAACGTCACTCTTTTTACTGGATCTTCATTAATACATTTGAAAAGAAAAAAGATTGTTTCTAGCTTTTCATAAATATTCCAGCAAGTGCAAGAAGGAAACTTCCTCAATATAATCATCTTTAATAAACCAGTTCACAGTTAGCTACCAATCTGGGAAACTTGGGAAGCCTGTGGTGAGAAATCGGTATACTACACTCTTAGGATTGTATACCAGAAGTTGTACTTACAAAATTTGAGGAAATTAACTAACAAATTCTCAATAAAAAAATACTCAAATTATACAAGAATTTAAAATTTTTAAAAGAATGGCCACCCCGTCACCCCCTCTTTTTAAAAAAGCCAAAGAAAAAGAATATTATATTCAATTGATTCGGTGCCAAAAATTTTCAATTCAATAGCAAGGAATTTACATGATAATTTTTAAACAAAATCCAATGCTTCCATCTGATTAATTAAAAGCCACCTCATAACCCATTGTGATGGCCTTAGTACTAAATACCATAGTGATAACCGTTTGATAATTCAGATATCAAATTGAACATTTCTAAAGTGGAGGTGCCACTTTAGGAATTTTGGTAAACTTTCAAGACCATTTATGACATTATCCTTTTCTCCCCCATTTTGGGTAACTATTACTAAGGTATTTTTCTACATTGAACCCTGTGGAACATGTAAACTATCTGTCCAGGCTTTCCAAATGCAAAGCTGGAATGGCATCTTAATATATACAGCAATGGCAAAATCTGCAGCCCAGAACCTCTACACACGGCACTCGAAAACAAATCATGTGCCGAAAATTCTTACATCATGCACGTTAAGCAATGGCCAAAGAGCAGTAGAACCAGTACAAGGTGGTTTGCCTCTTTCATCAAAATTTGATTCCATCGAGAAAACCAAATAATCTTGTTTTGCACCCGGTGTCATTCTATAGCTTTACTCCTTCCAGTGCAGCTACCATCGAAGCGGATGCCTCTTCCAGTGTTCGCTTCTTTTGGACCGAGTTGAAGGCTTCAAGAATATCTCCTTCCTGCCATTCATCGTAATCATTCATTCCCATACCGCATTCCAAACCAGCATTTACCTGTCGAGAAGAAATTATCATGATTGTGTCCATTAATATTAAACTAAAAATTTCCGCGTCACCTAAATATTTTCAAGATCAATACTTAAATCATTTATCAACCAGATAAATTCAGTAAGAAAGCTGAAGATATTAATGCTGATATAGCCATTCTTCAGGATGAGTGACCTAGTATCTCTCGGAGAAGCATCTCCAAACACGATCTAGAAGTATAAGACCACAATCTAACTTTCCCAGACACTAAACATTCTGTAACAGAACCTCCATAAACATCTTTCTACATAAAGGAAGGATTAACAAAACCGACGCAACAGCCATCAAAGCAATGCCACTGGATCTTACATCAGAAAATCAGGACATAGGATGCCTCAACGATTGGGTCAATGACAAGTGAAAAACTAGAAAGAAAATATGTTCCATAATCCAATATTTATTAAGGTTTAGTATTTATATGTTCAATTCAAATGGCTGTACTCAAGAACTACAATAACAAGACGAATGTTCAGAAGATGGAAGGAAGGATGGCAAAAAGAATCGAGGATGTGATGCATAAAGATAGAAAAGGGATCGTAGGCGTTCCAGTTACATTGGTCTAGAACCAGGTCATTGGACAAATGAACCAAGAGAAACTCTATCCACTACAATCCTACACATCATACATCTGTTAGTTGCCACTATATGCTACCATCATAATCTATCCGCAGCACCCCATGAAACCGCAAAATTCCAATTTTTATGGAAAATATAGTAAAGAAAATAGATTAAAATAATCATCAATCATGCCATTTGTATCCTAGATGGAAAAAACTGTTTTTTGTGAGGAAAAGGATCCAAACATGTATGTGAAGCCAAACACTTACCGCAAAAGGCAATAAAAGATGAATATGAATTTGCAATCTAAGTTCCTCTATCATTTGAAATTTCGCTTGAGAATCACCAGCTTTTAAGAAAATTGTCAACAAATATTTCTATCTTTACAAAATTTGAATTGTCAAAAAGATGGAAACAAGTCCAACAGTAGAATTCAATATTCTGTCCATCTCATCCCGCTGCTTAGATAAACTTAACTTACTAATCAAATGTATATCGATCTCTGATCTAATTATTCAACACGGTAACTTTTAGTTGCAGATCTCTTTATATGCAATTTGACATGTTATTTTCACCTTTCTTTTTCCATCTCTATGTCAAATGACTAGGCAGAATACACACCCATCAAATCCTCCCAAGCACAATTATAAGACAATTTACACACCTCTAGTCTAGTACCCAATATATGAAAAAATATAGGAAAAGTTGAAGAGCATTCATTAAAATTTCACATTAAAGAGGGCTTAGGATGGAGAATGAGAACAAAGAAAGAAGCAGAAGTAGGAATCAACACCATACCTCTTTAACAATTTCCTTAACCCTTCGTAATGAATCAAGAACACCAACATGGACTGTGCGGCCATTTCGGATTACACGGATGCCACAACCATTCACTACCTTTCCCTCTGTTACCATACATCCAGCAACACGACCACTTCCACTGCTGAAAACAGCCCGAACCTCAGCAGAGCCAATTGGTACTTGTTCCTATCAAAAGAGAAGCAGTACATGTCAACTCCAAATCATTAATGCAGAAATCTTAAACATATCGACGGAAAAACAAGTACTTGATGCAGGAATTTAAGCCTCTAAGTTCTCAGTTTACAACAGATCAAACTAAATTCACTGTTTAAAGTATTGCACGATGTAAAAGAAACAAAAACATCAAAAATCAAAAGTGCGAGAGAGAAGGACCCAATGCCTCAGCATACTTCTATTTTATGCGCATTAAAACGATACAGGTAGAAGACAATGATCAAGGTGATGCGGAAAAATGACTACCCTGGATTCGAAGAGATATAGTCATAGAAGTATAGCAGAAGTATGCAAATAACTGATTTGGGATGTTAAGATTAAAGGCTTAATCAATAAGATTTGGGTTTCCCTCCATGCCTCCATGATCAAGGTGATGAGGAAAAATGACTACCCGGGATTTGAAGAGATATAGCCATAGAAAGAAGTATAGCAAAAGTATGCAAATAACTGATTTGGGATATTAAGATTAAAGGCTTAATCAATAAGATTTGAGTTTCCCTCCATGCCCCTTTTCATTTTCTACTCTTCCAAACAAGGGCCAGGCTTGATCAATAAGATATATCCATGTACATTTTGACCTGGGAACCAAATGGAATGCCAGAGAGCTTCATTTAGACCCCCCCCTCCATCAAGTAATAATAATAATAATAATAATAATAATAATAATACATATAATCAAAATATAAATACTTAAAACATTAGACTAACCTCAACAGGCTCGAGAAGTCCCTCCATTGCATTCCTCACATCGTCAACAAGTTCATAGATAACTCTATATAGCCGAATTTCGACACCTTTATTTTCTGCATAGCTTTTGACCGAACCTGGTGTCTTCACATTAAATCCAAAAATAATGGCTTTGCTAGCAACTGCAAGATCAACATCACTGGTGCTTACATCTCCTGTTGCTTCCAGGAGAAACTTCAAAGTCACGTTGTCTTGTGGGAGCACCTGCAATGCTTGTCTGACAGCCTCTATGGATCCCTAGTTGTGGAAAACAAATACAGTTCAAAAAATTATAATGGTCACTGGAAACAGATAGAAAAGGTCAACAAGAACTTTTGAGGTTGTTTATTTCTTTTTATGGAATCGGCACTCAGCAAAAGCATCAAGCAGTAGAATAAGAGAACAACATGTAAGAAATGCACTACCAAGACGAGTGTTTTAGAAGTAAGACATTTTTTTCTGGTACAATAAAGAATACAAGTTTTGAGGGCGGCAAAGGATGTTATCATTAGGCATATTTTGAGGGCGGCAAACTGGGAAGCTGACAAATTAGCTAAAGATGGGATAGGTTGATTTTTGGTTTATTTGGTTGTGTTGATTAACAGGAAATTTAACTTTCTGTTGTGTTAGGTGTTTTGATTTAAGTCTTATGTTCTTCAGTTTAAGGTTTAGGAGACAGTTCTGCCTATGTAATTTGGTTCTTATGAATAAAGATTCTAGGCACTCTTTTCCTCCTTTGATCCTTCATGTTACTTTCACAACATGGAGGATTTGAAGGGGGTTTTTAATGAGGCTTACTTTCTATCAAAAAAAAAATAAAGAATACAAGTTCATTATTTGAATTCCAATTTTTGACCCGTATAATTCAATTGTCCTATAATCTGTGTCCCAATGCTTGTTATCCTCAGCTTTTAGAAACCATCATGGAGAAGGAAACTCTATTTTGGCACCATATCATTATCATGCAATTCACATGCACCCAACATCCCAATAACCCTTTATAACAGGTTAACAGTAGCATAAAAATTATATGCACTTCAACAGATGGCTTATAATCCATATTTGCTTCCTCAAACAAAAATTGATATAACCATTATGTATACCAAGAGCCTTTTTTTCATTCTCTTACCCCTTTTCACCA